CGTATTACTTCACAGTTTGTTATTCTTTCAACCCAACTAATCTTCAGCATTAGACGGTAGCACCACATCTCGAAACTTTCAATATTTTTCATGTTGTTCTGTTTGAGAGTCCAGGCCTCTACACCGTATAATAGCGTGTTAAATACATAGCCTCTCAGCATTCTTAATCGTAGAAGGATGCTTATGCTTATATTTCTGTTGCTAAACATACTCAATGATTGGTATACGAAATGGAGAACAAAAGTAAATAAAACAAAATCAACTCAAATAACATTTACCAACCGACACAATATATGCCCACCTGTAAGGATGGAAAATATAAGAATACCAACAGTAACAGACGCTAAATACCTTGGCCTCCATCTTGACCAACGACTCACTTGGAAGAAACATATCCAGACCAAAAGAAGGCAGTTCGATTTAAAATTCCGGCAAATGTATTGGCTTCTTGGACGTAAATCAAAACTTAACATCCAAAACAAAATTCTTCTATACAAAGCCATACCTACTCAAACCTATCTGGTTCTACGGACTACACCTATGGGGCTGTGCAAAGCCAACGTCGCTGAATATTATCCAAAGATTCCAGTCTAAAGTACTAAGATCGATAGTGGATACGCCATGGTAAGTAAGTAACCAAACACTCCATTATGACTTAAAGGTTCCTTTCATCAGAGAAGAAATTCATCGAGCCACGGAGTCACAAAAAAACGTACCATTCACCACGAAAATGAGCTAGTAAGGGAACTATACAACAATGGACCTGTCACAAGAAGATTACATAGAACCTGGCCCCAAGACCTTCTTCAGAACTAAACCAAAGTAGAATAAGGTGAGACATCATTGGATGTCTCTCCTTCACGCGCAAAACCTGTAACATTTACTTAATACTCTTTTTGATGTAGATTGTAAATAAACATAATTATAAAAAAAAATATTCTTGTGACAAAGCATAGAGTTAGAAAGAAAGTTATTTCTTCATGGTGAGACATATTCTATTAAGCCTTGATCAATACATCCTTCATCTTCTTCAGCATGCGTGATAATTAAACGACAACCTTTACCTGTTAGAAATTTTAATCCAAGCAATTTAATTTAACTCTGTATCTAGGAGCTGTTACCACTTAGAAAGACGTCTGGGTGTAACATTCATTGGAGCGAGATTTATTAAACCTCCAGTACTCGCGCTCTATTTTCTTTGGTGACTACACGCGTTGATTACAATAGTAATCCATACGTACTGGAGCTCTGGAAAAGCAATATTATTTGAAAATGGTGTTATTATTTTAATGAGTTTTTAATAATACCACTGCAATCACTAATTGGCTTTATTTTATAAGTAACATCTACATTAAATTTAAAAAAAATAAAAAAAAAACAGTGAAAATTAAAAAACAAAATCAAAGTTACCTATAACCAAACGTTACAAACCAAACTAGGTTCTATAATATCCTAAATATAACATCTTAATCTGATTCAGACTGCATGTTTTGTTTTATCACAGCACAATGTACACATTTGCTTTAAATGTCCTGGGCAAGTGCTGCTGCATCATTTCCTTGTGCTCTTATTCCTTGCTCTTCCACAAATATTTCTTAATAGAATAATATAACTTCTTTAATAGTTTCCTTATTTATTTTTCAACCAAATTTAATTTTTTTCTTTTATTTCTGTTGATGTGTGAGTGTTGTCTAATCGACTTTATTAACTCAAACAAAATGTTCTGAAGCAATGTGTCTTGGGAGTGATGCAGCGACATTATTGGCATTACACCAGTGGGTGGCCAACGCCGAGAGTTTCGGGAAACATCATATTGTGCACACAACTGGTCAACCAAATCCATACTGAATTTTGCTTTGTTTGTATTATTTCGGCTTTGTTCTTGTTTTCTGTTTCAGGATTAATACTGTCATCATGGTGCATGGTTGAAACAACTAATATAGTCTTATTTTTTTTTAATGTAGTTTACCAAGGTACATTTTTTTGGAGGAATCCGAATAGTGAACAATGTATGTCTCTGTTTTTAGACGGTATAAATTCTTGTGTAGCTTTCTCTTATTTTTACGACTTGTACCAATAATAGTTAATCGCTTTTGAAGCAAGTCCATGAAGCAAGTCCACCCCAATTAGTTTCAAAAGAGCCAGTTGGTTCTGTTCCACAGTAAATTATAGGTATATACATATTTGCTATCTACTAACGCAAATATTTTACACGATATTTGGATGGTTTATTGGGGATGTATTGATAGAATTGACATTTTTTCTAAAAGCAAGTAATTGCTCGTCAACTGTTAAATAATCTGAAGGTGTAATTTTTTTAAATATTCAATAAAAAGTCCAAAAGTGTCTCGTATAGGAGCAAGTTTACCAGCTCTATGCATTGTTGTCCAGAATTAACGTCGTCATACCTCAAATATCTCAGTAGAAATCAGAAACGATTTAAAGACTTTGCTGAGTCAATTGCTTCAACACCAGTTCTTATTATCCTACATTTGCAAAACATTGAGTCTTTCAGATTTTAGAAGACCTGCTAAAAAGAGTATACCAATAAGTCCCCAAATCTTTTCGACGTGAGTCATTTTAGCATCTCTGTATCGCTAGAAATTTGCTCTTGACTTCTCAATATATATTCAAACTGTGCTTTTGCATTTATAGCTTTTGTTATAATTAAAAAAAAAATATTTTTTCTTCATCTTAAAATCTATTTCTTACACAATCTATGTCTATAGAAATATCCTGTTATGGTTTAGTTGGTCCTTACCCCTTAGGATCCACACAGTGTGGCGATTTGCAGTGTATGTTGACTATTTAGAGTTACCAACTATCCTCAGTATCTTTTTGAGTGGAAAGTGTCAAAAGTTTTTAAAGAGCCACACAATTTTTTATTGTTATTATTAAATATTTAATACATCCCTTAGAGACAGCCATTTGAGCCTTTCAACTCTCGGAACTCCAAGAGATATCGTTTTCACCTTTGACTAGAAAGGATACGGCTTTCGGGGCGTTTAAGACAGGTTCAGTTCGAGTAAGTGCGTCAACCAAATGTCTAAACCTGCGGTTCTTTTCGTACTGAGCAGGATTATTTTCTCCACGACGAATCATCAGTAGGATAAAACTAACATGTCTCACGACGAACAATCCAACGCTTGGCGAACTCTGCTTCGCAATGATAGGAAGATCCGACATCGAAGGATCAAAAAGCGGCGTCGGTATGAACGCTTAGCCGCCATATGCCAGTTGTCCCTGTAGTAACTTTTATGTCAACTCTTGCTGAAAACTCTTCAAGCCAAAAGGATAGATAGACCGTGCTTTCGCAGCTCTATGTATCTGAACATCAGGATCAAGCCAGCTTTTGCCCTTTTTCTCCTTCTTCTTAGGACACCTGCGATATTCTTTGACAGATGTACCGCCCCAGTCAAACTCCCCGCCTGGCAGTGTCCTCGAATCGAATCAGGCTGGAGGCAAGTTGACGCTCGAAACGAAGAACACGAACGCTAGCCGGGTATGCGAAAGGCAAGTCTTATCTGAACCTTCGGACGGTACAATGTAACGAAACGTCACTCCGTGGACTCCGTGCCATGCCCTTGGCTCAAGAATACCGTGACAGTCGCCGCCTTGTGAGGAAACAACTCACGTGTTTCGCCTTATCCAGTAAATAAAGAAACGATGAAAGTAGTGGTATTTTATCAGCGATATTCTACACTTCTACCTCCTAGTTATTCTACACTTTTTATGTCTCCTTGCAATGCCAGACTAGAGTCAAGCTTAACAGGGTCTTCTTTCCCCACTAATTTTCTCAAGCCCGGAACCAATGGGTACTGATCAAAGAATGGTATCGACTAACTCCACAATATCATTCATATTCAGTAATATAAAAAATGGTTCTAATTTTCTTTCAACTTTTTTTTAAGCGCACAATTGATGTTTACACAAGTGAAATTTCTCTTCACATTGTTTTAAACCTTGAACACATGTAAACAACGCGTTTGTGTATTCTTCCAATTCTGTAGAATAGACATCCATGTCATCTGCTTTTAAAATTGGTATTTGTTTGACAATCTGGGCACCGTTGATATGAAAAAAGTTCCAACTTTGAAATTGGTTTTTCTAGACTAGTTAGAGACATTGCTGCAGATATTTACAACATGGATGTCTGTTCTACAGAATTGGAAGAATACGCAAATGCATTGTATACATGTGTTCAAGGTTTAAAACAATGTGAAGAGAAAATGCAGTTGTGTAAATATCAATAATTGTGCGCTGATCAAAGAAGTCAAACATTCTCTTGAAATATTATGTTATATTGTTTTTTAACAATATGTTAAGTTAAGACAAATATTATGATTTTAAGTGTCACAAGTTTATTAATAATTTAGTTTTCCATTATAAAACATCATTTCCTCTAATTTTCCAATTGTTTATTAAATTATAAACAAATCAATTGCTATCGTTAATTCGAATAGAAAACTATGAATTTAACTTTAATAAAGATCGATTTTTCTTTCGATAAAGATTGCAATTTCCTGTCTTTAAAATGGAAGCTAAATTTAGCTCACAAATACACGCGAAAAGCGTTAAAACAATGTTTCTTAGCCTTGGAAATTAGGAGCGTACTTTCTCATCACAAAACCTTCTTTGGAATAATTAACTTGAAATATTTTTTAATTTGCATTATTAGTATTAGGTTAAAACAAAAAGTGTCATTAATTTATTTATTTCTTTAGTTATACTTTAGTTGAAAATGATTGATAGTACAATTTTATTGAAAGTAAATTGCCAGAGATTCAAAAACAAAATTAGAAAAGGTAAAGGTTTGGTTTTTTAATTTTACATAATATTTTATTACTTAGAAATTTAAAATTTTATGTTTACTGTTTAAAAAATAGCATTAATTGGGAAAACAGTGCCATAATTGGAGTTTTTACTTCACTGGATTCACTCAAACTCTCTATTCAACAGAATATAGGAATAATTTATAAACGTAATTTAAATTTTTTTAGGTCAATGTATTATCTGACAACCAATTTTTGCATCCTATACTTCCGTGTGAATTTTTAGATTCACCAGAATTTGAGTCAAGCAGAAATACAGTCGATGATAAATTTAAGGTAAGCAGTCATTTTCTTTACTTTTATCACATTATGAGAATTCCTAATTACACATGATTCTATTTTAAGTCATAATAATATTAATTTCCTTCGCAGACATGCATAGCATTCTCCCATTCTTAATTTAAATAAAGAGACTACAGAAATATTTATGTATACTGACTCAATCAATTCCGTTCATACACTGTCAAAAATGTACACTTGCAACCCGATAGCTAAACTAATTAAAAACAAGATGCAGCAGCTGGAAAACAAAACATTAGTCTTCGTGTGGGTACCATCACATATAAACATTAAAGGAAACGAACTAGCAGATAAAAATGCTCGAGAAATAGCAAATTCCCCAAATATCAGACCGATAATAAAACCATTAGCAGAAGATCTCAATCCGTACTTTAAACAGAAGCTGATATGTAATTGGACTAAATGTTGGGAAGAAAAATTCTCAAAGTTAAAAGAAATTAAACCAAATTTTGGACGATGGACTAACAACGCCCCTAGCCGTTTCCTTCAGGTTGTATTAATCAGGCTCCGATTAGGATACAGCAAACTCACACATGAATATCTCATCAAGAAGGAACCTCAACCAAAATGTACGAGTTGTGACGTGCCGTTAACAGTGAAATACGTATTAATGGAGTGTCCCAAATATAGTGCTGAAAGACTAACTAATAAAATTCTATCAGTTATAAGGGACATTTTTAATGAGTGTACCAGTGAAAATATTGTGAAATTCTTAAAAGACTGTAGTATATTGAACCACATATAAGTATGTTTATTTATTTGTTATTTGTAACTATTATTGTTTTCATTAAATTTATATAACCAATAAGGTTGATGCGGCTGCCTTAAATAAAAAAAATATATTTATGTACCTTTGTCGTGCGAGGAAGAACGTACAAACAAACTTAGTGGAAGAATATAATTTGTCTAACATAAAACCTACTTTTTCTGTTAAAAATGATGAGCATTTTTGCGCAGGCATTCACCGTTTATTGTCCTGTCAGAATTACTTTATAGCTGTAGATATCAGTAGAATTGACGAATACTACGCAGCCATTAATATGCAGCATGTATATACCATACAGTACCATGCAGCATTAATATCCTAGACCTGTCTTGTCAAATCTTTTGTTTTATCTACTGAAAAGTGCATCGTCTTCGCCAGAAAAAAAAATGAATCCCAAAATACCTTAAACATCTTGTATAAAGTGACCAGATATACGTGCTCCATTTAATATGAGGAAGAAAACTAGTGAGCTGTTTTAACCAATCAGAAGCCTTTACAAAAGGCAAGAAAAGAATGCTACAGTAGATTTTAGTCCTATTTCAAGTCACAGTGTAAATTTTCCTTAAAAGTACCAACTTACTAAACATCTCTCATCTAACCATCACCAGTACTGCTTTGACGTTACACTGCTACTTCCTTCAGCGACTCCTTCATAATGATATAAACTATAAAAGTAGCTACGTAATGGTAATTAAATGTGAGAACTGGAAAAATATACCTTGTTTATTGTTTTTACAGGTCTCCATAGTGGCAGCTAGCACTTGCAGATATCTGTATTGGCAGCGAAGCGCTTTGGAGTACTTATTTGTTAAGGATAACTACATAGCTACGTTATTAACAACATTAATAGCACGAGATATAGCGACCAAATTGTACGCTATGAATAATAAAATAGTAACAGCTAAAGGTTCTCATCTGGATATTCGACTTCCTAGTATAACGTCTTCGTTAACGTCAGGGGAGAGTACAAATCCCCAATTCGGTCAAAAAAGGCTAACGGAGGTAAGTAGCAAACAGTACGAAGTTATTTTAACAAGAGTAATATACAATTCTGGATAAAAAACGTTCGAGAGTTTAAATTTTTTATATTTGCCTTCTGAAAAGTATTTTATCGGCATCAAAAATCGAAAAAATCAAAGGAAAAGTTTTAAAAGGTTTTTCTCCTGTTATAAAAATCTTAATTTTGAAGTTTAATTTAAATAGTACTGACAAATGTAATGTAATGTAAGTCCTCGTTTTTTTTTGTTCAGATAACTTTACTGGTTTTGGACATGCAATTCTCCAGAATTTTTTCTCTGTTTTAGCATATATAGCTTTTTGCCAATTGTTTTCATAGGAATCGAATGAATGATTTCCTCGATTATAAGGTTCTCAATTTGGATGACACTCTGATCACATCATCTAACACAGGAATATTATTTGTGATGTGGGTTTTAAAAAGTGGCCAATTTGCTCTGCGATAATCTCTTATGGGGGGCTGGAGTTTTAGGTGACATGATATCAGAATTTACTAATATCGGAAGGTGGTCGGACGTTATTGTGTAGCCTATGTGGCATCGATCGTCGAACCTGTGCATCACGCTACCAGTAACGATGATGTGGTCTACGATAGATGCCCTATTGCGATCAAAAACGTAATCAGTGTTGGTAATTCCTATGATAGGAAGGTCTAGACGTATATCAGTCTGATGCCTTCGGGTTATTTGAATGATCACTGAATTGGATGGCCCATGGTCGACCATGAGGATTGCTTTATTTAGAGTATAGAAATACTCTAAAAGTTCTACAGAAAGCGGGCTAGCTGGATGCCTGTAGTAAGAGATTATAGTAAGTGTTTGATTGTTGGGTAGGTGCAGATCTATGAAGTCCACGTTGAGTGGAGGTATATTTTGTGAAAATTTGTGTAGGAGTGTGGTAATCCATGTTTGATAAGGATATTATTCCCACGGGAAGCCTGACAGCGGTTTAGAGAAATTTTTGTATATCCTGCAAAGGTCGGAGTAGTTCGATAAAGTGTGTCCGTAATTGTGATTTTGCAAGATATGTTTGATTTGGGGTTTCTTTTTGGAGATCCCTTGTCAATTTACTGCTCCTATTGTAAAATCCATAAACGATTAATTTAGTAGTTTGGGTGGAAGGTCATTTTGACCTTATTATTTTGGCCAGTCTGGCCAGTTTGGCCAATTGTATGGCCAAAGATTTTGTCGATCACAGAACTCGTGATGAATGTTATGAGGTCCCTTCTTTCAAAGGTTAGATCGAAAGAAGGGGTTAATCTTTCAATAGATAAAGGTTGGATCTGATAGGAATTTTAAGGTTATTCGTGCCTCTTCGGACATCGATGTTCGCCGCCACAGTTAGGGCATCTTTAATTTGTTGGGCTGGGGCACTCGCTAGATTTGTGGTTTAGCTCACAATTTGGGCAGATAAAAGTTCTTTGCTGACATTCCTTGATGGAGTGGCTGTTAGTGCAGCATGTGCTGCAATATTTCGGGATAGAGATTGTTGGATTTGCTCCGATACAATTCAACATTAAATTGTGGTAGCACATATTTTTAAACTGCAGTATAAAAGTTTTTTCTAGTTTTTTGTCTAATCAAAATATATTTCTTTTCTTACTTTTTCTTTTTATTATCTTATATTATACGTGGTCATTAATTGTATATTGGCTTAATTATCGGATATAGCTTATAGATGATATAAGAGCGAAGAAAATTAAAAGGTAGAAATTACAACGAATACAAAAAGTTCCATAAGACTATATATATGAGGAGATAAAAACAGCAAAAGAAGCATGGCTGACGGAGAAATGTACGGAAATTGAAACACTACAACGCAAAAATGACGATTTCCATATGCACAAAAAAATTAAAGAGCCGCAGAACATCAGAAAATAATTTAGCATAGTCGTAGACATTGAAGGCCAGATTTTGACTACGATTGAAGATAAATTACGAAGATGAAAAGAATATAATGCAAGAATTATTCAAAAATTAGCACGAATCCGACTGAAATAGACAATACCTACGGCCCAGAAATAACAAACGAAAAAGTAAGTATGGCCATTAAGAGGATTATAGATGGATAAGTACTAGTACCTGATGAGGTGCATGGTGAAATTTTAAAGCTATTAAAGGCACACCAGGCACAGGGCTCTTACGAAGCTATTCAAGAACATTTACCCGACTGGTTACTTATCAAAAGACTGGCTACTATCAACATTCCACTTTCTAAAAAAGCCAACGCTAGAACGCTACTTAAAGTACTCCTTACTATCATTCACTGGCGCATATACACCAAATTAGAAGAACATCTGAGTGAAGTTCAATTTGGATTCAGAGCAGGAGTCGGCACGAGGGAAGCACTTTTTCGTTTGCAAGTTCTAATACAGAGAGCCAGGGATGTCAGCTGCGATGTGTATGCATGTTTCAGTGATTTGGAGAAGGTATTTGATAAAGTTTCACATGGGAAACTAATCGATATCCTAAAAAAATCCGGCAGTATTTAACATGTACTCTGAAAACATCTTTAGAGAGGCCTTGGATGAATCAAAAGATGGGATTGCTGTAAATGGCAAACTTATAAACAATATTAGACATGTAAACGATACGTGTTGCTGGCAGATAGTGCGCAAGGGCTCCAAAAGATGATGGATAAGATAAGACGAAAATAATGATCATTAGTAGGAACACCAACATAAACGCCCAAATTTCAATAGGCTATACACCGTTAGAAAGAGTGGAAAAAATATGCTATTTGGGCTGTATTATTAGAGATACTTGGGATGACAGCCACGAAATAAAAACTTGTATTGAGGATATGCACATTTAGAAGAAATCTTTTATGCTAGAATTGGATAATATAGAAAAAATACTAAACAAAAACAATGTAACAAAGCAATGTAGATTTAAAAAAGATAGTGAGAAAAACAAAAGGTATACAATATTTCGAAGACATGAACAGAAGAAAAATATAAAATAATAATAACTAAAGTGGGATGCACAGATCAACAAAATCAAATAAAAAACTTGCCAAACAAGTTTTTTTTAAATAGTTCGCTTGTGGGACTATCGAGAAAGAACGAAGAGGCAGTCCAAGCAAAAGATGTATATATTAAACAAAGAGGAATGAAAAGAAAGAAGAAAACTACTAGAGCAAATAAAATAGATGTAAACGATAAATAAAATAAAGAAGATAAAGGTGCAGCTAAACGTTCAGTAAATGAAGTGGCCAATGCGCAGACAAATAAAAAGAAATCAAAGAATGGAAAAGAAAAGTATTTTTGAAGTGTGAAAAATTTATTTCCTAGGTGAATATTTTCTACTTACAAAACTTATAAAGCTTACACAAAAATCCACAATGTTCCTTTATATAGGTGTAAAAAGACATGAAAGATAGATTATTGAAGATAGATAGACTCCACAAAAGAACCAGAACATTTAATTAGAGTTGAGCCACCAAATATGATCTTTTCTTATGCCATCACATAGCTTTGTAAGCTCCTTAATTTGTGATAAGAGTGTATAAAAACATATCAGTATTTTCATTAAAAAAAAAATAAAGAAAACAGTATATTCAATATCTTGGTTTTTCGAACCAGACTTCTCTAAAATATTTCTCTTAATGCAATTTACAGAAAATTCTTTCCTTTGCAGGCATTGGATTTAATCCCGACTCATTCTACAATGAAGTATCCAAAAACAAATTTCGAGAAAATACCGGTATTGCACAAAACTGCTATCTCAGTGAAATGGAGCCGCTGACTGAATGTCCATCTGCAGATGATCTAACTTCTAATGACGTGGAGAGTTGGCTAGAGACTAGCTCTAAATATCACAGTTGTGAAATTGTTGATATGGATTAATTATATTTTACCCTATTTTTAAATCTATTAAAAAATATGTAAGGAGGTTGGTGAATTATTTTATGTACTTTTTATTTTAAAATTAAGACATTTGTAAAATTTATGATAATAAAATATTTTTACCAAAGTTAATTTTCTTTTTCCTTTAATGTTGATGAAAATGGTTTAACGGAATTAACTGAGTAGTATAAAAGCCAGACAGATCACAGATATACGGAACTAATAACCAATATATAAAAGGAAGCCAAAACAACAATTAAAGTAGGAACAATATAAAGGAACAAAATCAATACAAATAAATAGAGGCGTGAGACAGGGTGACACAATATCAGCGAAACTTTTAATCAGGCTCTGGAAGATACTTTTAAAAGATTAGAATGGGAAGAAAAAGGTATAAAAATTTGTGGACAACGCTTGAACCATCTAAGGTACGCTGATGACATCGTATTGATAACCGATAAAAAAGAATAATTATTTGAAATGATAAAAGAACTGGAGGTAGAAGCTGGAAAGATAGGCCTTAATATGAATTACAACAAGACCGAAACCATAAGAAATACAGGTGAAGACATCACAATGAGAATCGGACAAGATGAAATAGAACAAGTTCAGGATTATATATATCTTGGTCAAACTATAAAACTTTACAAAGAAAGCCAAACAGCAGAGATAAAAAGACGAGTTAGACTGGCATGGACGACATTTGGAAAACTAAACTATATTCTTAGAAACAAAAGATATGCACAGAATCTTAAGACCAAAGTATACAATCAATACGTACTCCCTATTCTTACTTATGGTTCCCAAACGTGGACATTTACAAAAGCAAACATGGACAAAATCATAAAAATCCAAAGAGCGATGGAAAGACAAATGTTGCACAAAAGACTAACTAAAGGGAAACGAGTGGATAAGAGAGAAAACAAAAGTGAGGGTTGTTAGACAAGAAGTTGCAAAATTTAAAATGGAGATTTGCCGGACACAATATAAGACAAAAAGAAGACAAATATAAACGAAGCAGAGGAAGGCCCCAAATGAGATAAGCAGATGATATCAAGAAGCACGTGGGCTCTAGGTGGATGACTGTAGCGACAGGCAGAGAAGAATGGAAAAGGATTGGGGAGGCCTATGTCCAAAGATGGACGAAGAAGGCTAATTAGACAGATAGGTATCAGCCAGAGCAATGAAGAAGCAG